CAGAGTTAACCGCCTAGACAGAAGCAAGCTGTGTTGTGTATGTGTTTCATTAGAATACATTGACGCCCCCACAATGCGCCCACAATTCATTTCCACAACCGAGCTGCGTCGGTCTCGCTTAGTGTATTCTGGGAAGCCGGGATCCGCGTCCCTGAGCATGGACCGGCAATTCGGCTATTTCATTCCGCGTTCCTTTTGCCACAGTTTCCATAACATTGGATTTATTGTACATACATTCACGCGTTGCAAGGAGCAGGCGGTGTCGTGGGTGGAATCGCTGCTGTTGCTCTATTGTTGGGCTTCGGTGCTTTGTTACTCCGACGCAAGAAGATGGCTCTCAAAAACAAGAATGCCAGTCACTCCGCTGCGGTTGAGCATGCTGCTCCGCAGCCTCCCAGTATTACCTCGAACGTTCGCTATGTGCGTGCTATTTATTTATCTCCCTTAATTCTATAACATAAACCCACACAGGACCCTAACGACCCTCGTACTTATCCGGATGGCTCTGCATCAGACGGGCATGTTGATAGCCAGGGCATTTTATCCCATAAAATGTCTCAGCGCGGACCTGGACCTGTGGGGGCTGGTGGATACACCGGGGCTCCGGAGCTGTAGCTGGTCTTTTGCCGAGTTCTTCTCTTGGTGGGAAAAGTATTACTATTTATTGTAACATTGAGAGATCAGTGAACAAAACAAAACTGTCGCAAATGGCAACAGATGTCGATGAGGCCGAATGTGCAAAGGCATATATATCCAGCAGCTGCAGCAATGTTCAACATTCATTGATGACCAGCATCGAAAGGCCGTCGGATACGCTGTGTCAACAAGATGAATTCACAGGTTTCGGATAATGTTCTGTACCCCATCTTGGTCGCTCATCATGGTCGTTGTAGCTCCATTAACCCAGCCATGAGCGCCCATCATGCATCATATGTGCATAAACCACCTCATTGGACTGTTTGAGCAGCAACCAGAGTTCTGTAACTGCTGGAGGGCTCCATAGCGAATCTACCAATAGAACTTCTAGAACAAATCCCCAAGTCTGTAAAGATCAAATGGTCTATTTATGATAGTTTCTGGCTGTACTACTTCAAGTTATTAAGCACACAAATAAGACTGCTGAAAGTTTATCGGTGTCCAAAGGGCTTCAAGTTATCCAGACCTGTCGGCGGAGGTCTTGGACCTGCGCACGCAGGCAGGGGCGCAGCATGACGGTCTTACAGAACCATAGTTTGCGGTGTCTGATTCGGCGCTGGATAGGTTGGACTAGTTCTTTGACTTTGTTAAACCTTCTGATCAATGATAACAATTTTCTGGTTTCAAACGGGCGATTAAACTAAGTTGTCATTGAGTATGTATATAGTAGTGTTACACTACGCATGACTCTTTCAAAGTGATTTTCAATGATGTGCATTCAGCAGACGTGGTCCACGTGGGATGATATAATACGTCGGCATCCACGCCAGCCCTAGGTCTGATCATGGTCTGATACATATGCCTGAAGGGCCGAAAGGGCCGAACTCAACGAGGAGGGGTTCGGGCCCCGGGCCGGGAGCCCCAGTGCCGCCGGTATACTCCGGAGGCGCCCCACTGTGCTCTGTATAGGGTAATAAGTCGGAGGTCTTTAACCTGCTTTGTCAGTGAGCTGAATAAGTATGACCGAACGGACCGAGACTTTGGGAACGCATGTATGGCGTAGTCGCCAAGTAGCTTGCTCTTTCCCGTCACGACTCAGTCAAGTTGTTTCACCTCATTCACTGGGACAGCGGTCTCACAAACTTCGAGAGAGAACAATTCTGTATCTCCAGCCTTAGGTATGGCATTTATCACGCTGGTGATGCATCAACTGCTAACAAGCTCCTTGATCCCCTGTCTTTCCGGCGTGAATCCGGACGAGGGTACCTGAGTTGGATTGCCAGTAAGGTCTTTCATAGCAACAAGACGGAAAAGTACGGGAGGCAATACCCTCTCGTGGTGGTGTTTGACAGGACTCACCTACCTTCACCCGCTTTCGTGTTATAGATCGGAGCCATGAGCAATCTATTGACTCATGTACTACCGAACGGGGCCGAATGTCAGTCTTTCTATTCCGACATGCAGAATTTGCTTCAGGATCCACAGAACGAAGAATTAAAACGAGCGCTCAGGTACCGTGTTAACTCGTTCTCGCTAGTCTGTCGCCTTCTCCCGGAGTTACTCGCCGAAATCTTTGCCCACCTCAGAGACTCGTCAAATGGACGGAAGCGCGACATCATGACCGTTACTCACATTTGTCGCCACTGGCGCGAAGTGGCCTTAGCATTTCCACATCTCTGGGCAACCATTATCTACGACGAAGATCACCCTTCGACAGAACTGTTTTGGTTGATGTATGAGCGAGCCAAGGAGGCAACGCTGGCGGTTGCTTATCATCTCGACCTTGATGACAAAAAGCTGGGATTATTCCAGCACGTGCTCGGGCAGGTGTATCGCATCCAGGAACTGTCTCTGGCTCTGCCACCTATACGCAAAATTCTTGTCGGCGGCCAGCTCCACTCCGTCCTTAACCTCCTTGTCTCAGAATCACCGTCAATTAGGCATATATGCCTTTTCTCACATCAAGGTGTTCTCGATGCAGACCCATTCCCAATCCCAAGCAAGCTGTTCGATTGCCCGCCTGGACTACGTAGCTTGAGTCTGAGCGGTTGTTCGACTGCCTGGGATTCGCCGATCTTCCGGGGGCTAACAAACCTACATCTTGACAGCATGTCGATCTTTGCTCCTACAGCAGAAGAACTTTGGGACATTCTGCGAGGCACGCCTGCCCTCGAGAGCCTTTCTCTCTCCCATGTATCGGAGAACATGGAAAATGTGGCACCGCCGCCCTCCTGGGACATCAGCGCCGCTACCGTCATTCATCTCCCTAATATCCATCATATTACCATCCATGAGTTCAGCTTCGCCGCTTACGCCCAGGTCTTCTCTCGGCTCTCTATCCCTAACCATGCTCACATCAACGTCTTTGTCACGGTTTCAGACTTCGGGCTTCAACAGATCGCCGCGTTGCCCCTTCTTGCCCCCGCATTTTTCTCTTACCAGCGCTCGCTAACAGGTGGAGGGTCTGAGTCCATCATCACTAACCTGGAGATCAGCCTTGACAGCCCTTTATGTGAAATGGAAGCGGCGCATTAGCGCACACATCGGGCTTCACGTACTCACCTGTTGGGTTTGTTTTAGAGACTTTGTAGCTTGGTAGAGCTGGTAGCGATGGTAGTCGTTCAGGAGAGAAAGACTTAGATTGAGAGAGCGCTACAGTACTGGTATATATACTAGGGAGTGACTGTGACTGTAACGCATGTAACGTAGGTGAGTTAGTTATGCTATTGGTTGTCTATATTTAGTACTCGTATGAGTAAGCGTATGCTGACTGATGCACTGTGTGCATTACTAAACTACTATGAGTCATGTACGTAAATAGAGTCCGGATCAAGTCCGTTCAACACTTTATGCATTGACGTGGAAGACCGCTGTTTAAGCAGCGGATTTAACCCTATGATGTGCCCAGACGAAGCATGCGGGAGACGCCTCACCGCCGACTTCAAGGCCGACGATGAATCCACCTACGTTGACCCGTTTAGCTCGTTTCGCAGCAAGACACCTTTCATTGACATAAAACTGCTCATTATAAGGCAGGCCAAGGAGTTTACGCACAAAATCCCTTGGAACGACCTCTTTGTCGCGCTCCCTGGGATTAGTGTTGTGCAGGGCCAGGCCTGAAGCCCTAAAGCCCTCAGGCCAAGCCCTGTATAGGCCAAGCCCTGCCCGAGCCCTGGCTAGGGCTTTTGAGGGCCTAAGGCCTGGCCTGGGTTGTTGCAAAGCCCGAGCCCAGGGCCTAAGCCAGGGCCTGTAGCTAAAATTTTGAAAAATGTTGATATGATTGTACAATTACTCTAGTAGCAAAAAGTTGTATAGCTTGAACTTAAGTAGTGTACAATGTTTCTATTGACTGTGGGAAATTCTAATCAAAAGTGCGCTGTGTCCTAGCTATGGTGTTATCTGACCCACTTGCCCTATTATTAAAATATAGCCTTGAGAGTTATGTTAGTGATTATGTGATGTTTGACTCAGCAGGTTACTAATGTCCTGAAGACAGTTTTGGTGCAAACAGTGAAGCTGAAAATGCCTCAGCACCTTGGGCTCAAGAGTTTCATGCTTACCTTGGCTCTGTGATGCCTCTTCCAAAAGAGATATCTATTGTCCATTGGTGGGGTGTAAGTCATCTTGTTGTATCATATTTTATGACTCTAATCGGTGCTACAGTTGAATTTTCCTTTGTACCCTATTT